GATGGCTCTATTCCCTTCAGACTTGGCAGTGAAGCATGTTAATTCACTCATTGTGTCAACATCCATTTAATCAGTAAATATATCTGGAGCTTCAACTGTTGCCAAAGTGGTTCACTAGGTTCTGAGGATATAGAGGTGGACAAAGCAGTTCTATCCCTGCATGGAGCCTATTTTCAAGTAGGGGAGATGGAGGAAGGAAAAAAAAACAAACAAACTGGAAATGAAGAGGAAATCACAGATTATGATAAGTGCCCTGAAAGAAATAACAGGGATTTTCAGCAGTTACCTCTAAAGTACTAGAAACCAAAAGCAGATCCAAGCCATTATGGGGAAAAAGCGTTGTATTGAATATTTTGCAAATAAAAATGAAATGACTCGTCTAGATCAACTAGATCAACTCAGAAGTGTAGACAAAAACCGATGGACTAAAAGGACTTGGCCTTCCTTGCCTTACTTTCTTCATCTTCATCCTAGTCTTGCATTTCCTAAACAGAGTTTTGCTGAAAAGTTATGAAATAACCAATATATGCCTTAAAAAGAGCTTTAAAAATATTTTTCTAAGCTGATTTTTATTAGGTATTTTATAATTTATTGTGGATCTCTGGATTTCTGGAATCCTGCCTTGGCCCAGACTCTCAGTAATTAAATGTTGCAGAACAGTGTGTGCTTAAATGTTGATGGTTTCTTGTATAAAAGAAATACTGATGTTCCTGCACCCCACAAAAACAAAACTTTGTTGCCCAAGCACAGGCAGGCATTTTTTTTCTCATTGTATACCTAACCTGGCTTTAAAATAATAATTTTCTGTTGATATTAAATAGTAGAGTTGGGACTTTTAACAAGATTTTTTTGTCATAATGTTGTGTATTATATGAAAATAAGAAAACATGGATTAGTAAAAAGAAAAAAATTACACACATTAATTTTAACATTAACCTAGACCTTTTCCTATCCAACAGCATAACCTGAAAGTTTATAATACATAATAAAATGCAACTGCAATAATTTCATAATGCGGTAATTAAAAAAATAATTTTTTATGCCGTTCTCCTCAACTCTGTTGCTATATCCTGAGGTTACATGTGTGAATACATTGTCATGGTCTCTTCAACATTTTGCTGTGGTTATATATACTTACACATAAGCAGATACACACCCAATCCTTTTTTTTTTTTTTTTTAAAGATTTATTTATTTATTTATACAAGCACTGGCTACAGTCAGAAGCGTGGCGGGGGGGTTGAGAGAATTCACCAGAGCAAGAGCGGGGAGCAGAGCAGGCAGAAGGACCGAAGTACACTGCTGAGGGGAGCCGCGGGCGGCAGGAGAGGTCTGCGCGCCATGTGGGACCCTCCTCCTGTGGCCGGGGTGCAGCCGGGGATCAAACCGGCGCTGCAGACGCTGCGGGCATCTTCGCAACCCAGCGCTCAACCGCTGCGCCACCGAGGAGGCCCCCACACCCAATTCTTTTTAAAAAATATTAATTTTGTTAACCTACAAGCAGTTTTATTTAATAATATGGAATGAAGGATTTGCCATATCAACACAGATGAATCCAAAACAGTATTTTCAGTACCTATCTATCATCTCCTGGTATGTGAATGTACCTTAATGCATTCAACTCACTCACCTATTCAGGTTGTTTCCAGTATTTTTCCTTAATAAATAATGCCGCAGTAAACATTTTTCATATGTATATAATTAATTCATGATTGATCATGCATATTTTTGTCTAATTTTTATTTATAAATTAAATATTTGTATAAATCCTTTAGACTGCCTCTTACAGGTCCTTGATCCATTTTGCTTTATTATAATCAAACTTAGCAAATCAAGCATGTATTACACATATGTACATAGAAAGCTTTGAGTCATAATTTGTCCCCAGCCTGCACACTCATCTCATCACACTATGCCCCTTACTAATTCTTCATGTCCCTAATTCTTTACCATGTCCCTCTCTGTGTTTCCCTTAGTAAAACTTTTGAAACCTATTTCAAACTCATCTCTTCCTGAAAGCTTTTTCTAATCTTTCAAACTTTTAAGCAGAGAAAAACCTCCTACTTTTGACACCATAACAGTTTCTTTGCCTTTTCTTAATAGCCATTATAGTCAACTTTGTGTGAAGCTGGCAGTGCACACAACTGTGTCCTCTATTATATTACCAATCTTGATGGCGGGTTGCATTTTCGCTGAATGCAATGCCTGAAAAGTTGTAGGTGAAGCTCAAAGAGATGTTGATTGAACTTGAACAATTTGTCTAAAAGTTTTCCTTTCAAGCCCTATTAAAAACTATAACCAAATACAGTTATTAGGGCAATTTGGGGAAAGGTAGCACTATAAAACAATCACATGTGGTATGCATATTTTTGACTTTAGGAATTTTTCCTTATTTTTAGAAGAGGTATTGGAGTAAATTTCTGTGAAGGATCATACAGTGAATATTTCAGGCTTTGTCAGTGTAGCGGCAGGAAGACACAGGGCAGGATCTCTATGACCTGAGCAGACCGGTGAAGAAGAGAGTCCTGAAGCCCTCAGTGGCTCTTTCAGGCTTTCACTGGGATTACCAGGTACACAGCAGGCAGAGATGCGGGCGGGGGTGGGGGGCGGGCAGGGGGGGTGCCCTGAGACTGGCAGGCCTCCCATCCCCCAGCAAATCTTCACTCTTTCTGGGCTTGTGGTGTTCTCTCCTGGCCTCTGCTTCTCTGCTGGTGTGCTCTCGTTCTCTCTCTCTGGTCGTTCTGTTCTGCTCTGCTGGCACCCTGTGACGCCACCCGTATAAGCCCTGTCTCAGCCCAGGTGTACCCACCTATGCATGCCCACACCCTGCTCCAGGTCTCTGCCATCAGGCATGCATTTAATTTAATGGCGGAAGGCCAGAAAAGCCCTCATTCAATCATTTAATCATTTACCCTACAGTCAGCCATAAGATAGCTACTGTAAGCTCACCTCTGCCATTGTAGTGTAAAAGCAGACATTAACAGTAAGTAAATGAATGAATATAACTATGTTCTGTGTCCAGGCTCAACCATCCACTCCGTATGTGCACAAGATGGGCAAGTGATTTCTGGGCCTAGTTTTCCAAATTTTTGTGAGGATAAAATGAAGTTAAATGAAGAGTGTGGGAGTCCCTAGAAGGTTCCCACCTCTCTGAGAAAATGTAACTGAATTGGAGCATTTTACAGGGTTTGACTTGGCATGTTTCCCTAGTGCTGTTTTAATTTTGAAGCAAGGTAGAACTATGATTAATTGCAGTGCCTAGCTTTTTTTTTTTTTAAAGCTACTCAATATATTTGTTTGATTTATTTTCAGATTGCTTAAAAAATCCCCATCAGTTATATAAGGCTACTAACTTCTAATTTTTAATTTTGCAAGGTCTTCATCAGTATATATTGCAGAGGAGTACAACTCAGTTTCATTAAATATATAATGTTTAGGGAAAATACATACAAATTTTCCAAAAACATGTCAGCAGAAACAGAATTGTCCATTCCCCCTCCCCCATTCTTTGTAAAATGGCTGGATTGTGTTAGTGTACTTGTTATGCCTCTGACAGTCCATATTGCCCAGCTTTCTCTACTAGATATGCACTGCTTAAGTTTAAGTCCTCTTTCTGTAGTTCTTTCCCACAAGAATGTAAATAAATCATGATGATATATATAGAGAGAGTATAATGAAAGTTGTATATATTGAATTAATGAAAACATTCCACGCATTTTTATATACATCAATGAAGTCTGAGTTTGTAAGCTGTCTTATAAGTTATTGTACTAATTGTTCAGACAGTGTAAGGCATGTATTGTCTCCATTTTGGATGGAGAAGTTGAGACCTCTAGAGTTTAAATATCTATTGTGGGTTACAAACCTAGCGCTAAGGCGTGGACCCCAGTTTTCCTATACTTAGTATACTTGTCTTCTGCATTGTACCACGGGTGGTGACCTCACTAGCCCACTATGCTCCACAGTGGTTATTACAGGGCCTCCTTTTAAGGTTCAAAAATAAAACTTCAATAGAAATTCACTCTCAGTTTCTTGCATTTTGATTAAAAATGTTTTCTTTTTTAAAAAAATCTCAATGATAAGTAGAATTATGACATACATACTTACAGAATATATAGATAAAATTACTTCAAATTATGCACAAGTCACTTGGGCTTCCAGGTAAGGTTTTGGTAACTGAATCAGTTTCCTCATCTAAAACAGAAGTTGGAATGGTATTTGCATGCCTCACTCAAAATTTTATCAATGAAAATAAAATGAGAGCTGCTGTGCAAGTGCAATAAGAAAATATATTTGCAAAGAAAAGTGTTACAATTTTCATCAAATTCACAAATACATACAGATAAAGCAATCAACAATCTCAAGTCCTATCTATCTAAAATTAATTACAGGTAATTAGCAACATTGGGAAAGTTTCATTTTAGAAGCTTCCATTTTCGTTATAATCTAAGAGCCTCAAGTTTTAATAAAATTCCATGATAAAAGAGTTATAAAAATTTTTCCTTAGCTGCATACTGGAGCATTTCAAAAGTTAATTAATTCTTTGGCATTCAACAGTGTAACTAAAATACTTTATACAGTTGTTTGAGCACAATGCCTGTAATCTTCTGATTAAAATAAGTGCTAAAATCATCAGCAGCAATTATTTACCCACCTACCATACCATCACCTACCGTCACTAATCGCTTCTCTTTAGAATCTAAAGAGATGATTTTCCAGGGAGTTTTAGAAACTTTACTATCATAGAATGAGAGGGGAAAAGAAAGTTTGAAACCTTCCAAAAAATTGAAGGTTTCAAAGTTAGAGATTCTAAGCAAAACTGTATTTTTTTTTTTAATCTTAAATTTAGAAGGAAATTTCTAACAAGGCTTGGTATAGCAAAATACCTGTTAATTCACTATTGTTTACCCTGTGGGTTCTAGTTAAATCGGTGCTGCTGTCACAATGCATTCCTACCTCACACGATAATGAATCTAGATTTTATTTCTGTTCTTTGTCCAGACTTGTACAGGAGGCAAAGTGTTTGAGAATCAAAGGAAAAGAAGATATTGACTTGGATAATCTCTTCAGAGGTAAAAACAACAAAAACACATCATATATTTCATTGTGAGGAATGTCATGTCGGGTTGTTTATTTTTCTCATTCTAAGTGGGCGATGGTGGAAAGAACTTGATTAGAAGTCAAGAGACTTATGTTCTAGTCCAAACCCTGTGAGTAGTAAGTTTCATCAGTTCATTATTCTATTTTTTTCATTTTTAAGGTGAAAGGAATAGCCCATAATTTCAATGGGCCTCACTCATGATAGTATAAATCCAAATCTACTGAAGTAAAAGTCTCAATGGTGGAAGCTCTCTCTGCTGTCTGCAGCGGCCATGAGGGAAGCTAGCAGTGTCTTACTGTGTTTTTTATAAGTTGAGGGACTGGGAAATGTACCTCATTAGTACGACAAGCAGGAAGGTTATTGGAAGAAAAAGTTTAATCATTAAAAGCAGAGGGATTATTAGAGCATAGGGTGAAAATTGCATGTTTACATTTAATTGCGTTTCTAATTAAGGCTCAATAGAGACAATTTCATCTATAACTTTTCAGGTTATTTTGTAGCAAGTTAAGGAACAGATTTCCCCTTGGTTGTGTTAATTTAGTGCAATAATTTGTATTTCATCAGATGAAAACATTGAAAATTTCTAATTAGTGCCTGTATGTCTTTTGCCATAGTGGCTTATTCTATATGTGTGTGTACCCTGGAACATGGTAGGAAACCTGCTTATCTTCTAGATAAGAACAACAATATTAGTTTCCTCTGACTTAGCCAAAAGTAGAATAATTTAGCACAATTTGGTAGCACTGTACTTTATCTCCATTACAGTTACTCTTCAGCTTAAGAGAAAAGATTGTGCTTGGTAGTCATTGAACACTAATTTCATAGAGTAAAGGTAACTTGCTCATGTCAGACAGGGATCAAACTCAACTTGTGGTTTGAAGAACTCTTGATTTCATCTCAACCACAGAGGAAGGAGGAATTTTTTCCTTGGAAACTGTTGAGGACAATTAAGTTACTCTGGTTTCATTGTGCATCTACACATGTCTCTTTAACCAGAAGAATTTCTATGTAATATAACTGGGTCTAAACCTTACTTTATTTTTTTTAAGATTTTATTTATTTTTGTATAGAAGTACTGGGGTATAGGCCAGAGGTGCAGGGCATGAGAGGATTCACCAGAGACAGGGTGGGGATCGGAACAGGTAGATTAACTGAAATACACTGCTGAGGGGAGCAGTGGGCGAGACAGGAGAGCTCTGCTGTGCAATATGTGGATTAGCTCCCTGGCCAGGGATGGAACTCAGGCTGTTGCAGTGATACTGCTGAAACTTAACTCCTAGGCTATCAGGGAGGCCTTGAACCTCTCTTTAAATAAAATCAAATAAATAACTGCTTTTTGGAAACTGCTCCATACAAATGTTCTAATCCATTTTTCCAAGCCTTCTTTCTGTAAACAACATGTTTTGGAATTACATGAGAAGTCCTAAAAAAGTACCAGTGTTTTAATTCATATTTTGACACTTTTGGAATTATCTCCACAGAGTAATTCTATGTATGTTCTTGTTAAAACAGATACAGTAATTTCTGTAGTTCACATACTAAAAATCATAATGAGGATCTTCCTTATAAAAATAGAAAATACCACCAGCAAAAACTCTCTCCTAACTTGTTCATTATGTGTTTGTTCCTTTCAACTTCATTTATAAAAGGTTTATACCTGTTTGTGCATTTACTGTGCTCTTCAAATTAAACATTTTGATTTCCTCACAGTGAAAGTCTATGCTAACAGATATAGCACAGTAGTGACATGGGGGAAGTCCATAAATCTCGTGTAGAGGACATACCTTCAGGGATCATATCACTCTGAAAATTTACACCATTTATTTAGCACCTGCTTTCTATTTAGCCCTTTGTCACCCAAAGTGGTTCTTCTTCATATTGGACTAATTTTCATTGTTATAATTAAATTCACTTTCTTTAACCTGGATGAAACAAAATAATGATAACTATGTTACTATTACTGATTAAATGATTACTTGATTACTTGATATTATCCTTTCATTTCTTGTAAGCCTATAGGTCTGACCTTGATTTCCAATTTCTTATCTGTGCTTTTTTTGTTGTTGCTTTTGGTGTGGAAAGATTTGAATAACATAACTCATTAGGAGTCTTTTTTTTTTTTTTTAAGGAAAATGGGCTAAAATGTAGTCTCCATTTCTCCTGTAAGGTAAATGGCATACGTATAATTTTTAGAGAGATTGTGTACATATATACCTGCGGCTTCTGGTTTTCATCTCTTGGGCATATTTACAATTTTTTACTTGGAAACATCTTTATTTTCTAAATCATCTTATTCTTAATAGATGTAGTTGGCAGATACATTAAAAATTTCTAAAGACTACCATTATTTTCAAGTTACTCAGTGATTCAACCTTCTTCCTTTTCTCATAATCATATATAAAATAAGATTATATTATGTAATTTTAAAATTTGTTCACAATGATAGGAATTTGTTGAAGAAGATAGGATTATTTGAAAGGATGTTTGATAGTAAAATTGACAGAATTTGGAATTTGTCTTCCTAATCAAAAGGTTTCCAGGTAAGCTGGAACACCTAAAATATAACAAAGGGTAATTGTGCCTTTTGTTAATAAAAATAACACAACAACATAGAGTTGACATGTTTGGTGACACCATGAGTCCATTATCCAGGATAGAATTAGGATAGAAAAGATCATGACTGATCTTTTGGGTGTTTGCCTTTGATCAACAGTGCATGTTAGAGAAATACACAAAATCTAGTATTTTGAATACAGGTTGAATGGAGCTAATGAATATTCAGTTCTACTAAATATAATGATTTTTTAAAGATTTATTTATTTGTGCATACAAGAGCTGGGGTATAGAACAGAGGTGTCTGTGGCAAGAGGATTCACCAGCGACAAAATTGGGAGCAGAACAGGCAGATTGACTGAAATACACTGCTGAGGGGAGCAGTGGGTGAGACAGACAGGTCTGCTGTGCCATTTGTGTTCGCTCTCTGGACTGGAACCAGAATTGAACTTGTGCTGCAGTGGCTACAGATAGCTTCATAGTGCTGAGACTTAACCCCTGTGCCACCAGGGAGGCCCAGAACTGCTCTTCTAAGTGTTGTGCCCTTCTTAGAGAGCCCCAAAACCACAGCAGCTAAAACTCAGCTAGTTAGCATCACAGGCAGATACCACTGTCAGGGCCCCCACATTTTGAGACTCCAGGAGACATCTTTGGTATTGCAGAATGTTCAGTTAGAATTCTTTCTTTTTTTGCTATTTATTAATTTGGTCTCAAATTTATAATACTCATTTTTCATTTTTCAAAGACTCAAAAATTTCATAAGTCAAGAAATGAAAGTAAAACATGAATGAGATAAACATTGTTAATAAATCTTTCATAGATTTATTATTAATAAAATAATTCACCCTTTTGTTTTCTTTACCCATGTCGAGTCATATATTAAGACATCTGCAATTCATTATTTTTGTATTTGTTGATATATCATAGGTATATGTAAACACACACACACATCTGCTGGGTTCTTTATTTTATGTTATTTATTTTTTAGTATGGGTTCTTTATTTTATTTTATTTTATTTTATTTTTTTTTTTAATAGAGGCATGTTTTTTATTTATTTATTTGTTTGTTTGTTCGTTTTGTTTCGTTTACACATGCACTGGGTACAGTCAGAAGCGTGGGAGGGTGAGAGAATTCACCAGAGCCAGAGCGGGGAGCAGAACAGGCAGAAGGACCGAAGTACACTGCTGAGGGGAGCAGCGGGCGGCAGGAGAGGTCTGCGCGCCATGTGGGACCCTCCTCTGGTGGCCGGGGAGCAGCCGGGGATCGAACCGGTGCCGCAGAGGCTGCGGGCAGCTTCGCAACCCAGCGCTCAACCGCTGCGCCACCGGGGAGGCCCTGGGTTCTTTATTTTAAAGTAAAAATCTTAGTCAAGTTTATAAGAGATCACACCCATTTAATCACTACTGGGTCAAGAAATACAAGCTGACTGGAAGCCCACCTCCTGCCATTCAGTTACTACCTCCTACCAGGATAATCACTCTTTTAATTTCTGTCACTGTCAGTTTCTTTGACCCTATTTCAAACATTTTATAAATTAAACCTTGTATTGTGTGTTCTTTTATGTCTCTTTTGGCCTTCTAAAAGTCCTCTTTAGTGAGTAGTCTGTTCTTACTGCTGTGCATTTATAAATTAGGTAGTTTGTTTTCCTGTTGTTGAATTCTGTTAGTTTTGTACATAGCTTGAATATTAATCCCTTGTCGGTAAACTAATGTGTAAACATTTTCTCCCATTCAGAATTGTCTTTTTAATCTACTTATATTTTCTTTTACTGTGTAAAAACATTTCAAATTGAAGTAATCTCAACTGCTTATATTTCCCTTGCCATAGAGGTCAAGTATCCTAAGACATGGTTATCAGTGATGTCAGAGTATATAACCAATATTTTCTTCTAAACATTTTATGATCACAGTTCCTATATGTGGATCTTTAATCCATTTGAAATTTATTTTTTTGTGCATGGAATTAGAGAGTGATTCAGCATCATTCGTTTACTTGTGGCCTTCTGATTTTCCCAGAACCATTTATTAAAAAGGCTCTCATTGCTTCTTGGCCTTTTGGCTAAGATCAAGTGTAAAAAGAGTCTCCTTTCTGCATTGTATGGCCATGGCTGCTTTATCATGACTTCAGTAATGATATGTAGATGGACTTATTTCTGAACTTTTGATTTTATTCTATTGAGTCATATGACTTTATGCAAAATCATGTTGTTTTTAGTATCATTGCTTTATAGTAGTTTGAAGTCAGGTAATATGATGCCACCATTTCTTTCCTTTTTTTTTCAAGATTGCTTTTGCTATTTCAGGGCCCTTTATGGTCCCATACAATTTTCAATATTTTTGATCACTTTCTTTGAAGAATATTGTTGATATTTCATATAAATTGCATTAAATTTATATTTAAATTTAGATAAGTAGGAT